CATTTTTGTTTAAATTCCCAAAGAGAATTAATTAACGGTTTTGAAAAATTAATTTTGAAAATTAATTCTGGGTTTCTAAATCACCTACGAGCGCAAGCCCTCGTAGTTAATTACATCGTAGGAAATCAGAATTTCCTACGAAAACTCTCGATTAAAATAGCGGTAGAAATTTTATTTAAGATTTTCAAAGATTGATATCAAAGGAAGAAAAGGGTAGGAATTTCAAGAGGGATTGGTTCAATGTTGAACAGTTATTTTCAGAGTCAAAGGAAGAGGAGTAGGGAGTGTTTTTAAGATTCTGAATTACTTCAGAAAACACTCCAACTAATTCTAAGTGTTAGGCTTGTATTTGATTGAAAGTGATGTTTAGTTTAAGTGATCAATTTTATTAGAAATTTAGGATTCAATTCCCGAAGATTGAGGTCTTATGGCCCGAGCCAGCCTCAGAACCTAAATTTAAACTGGGCATTTTAAAATTAGCCCGAACCTAAGTAGTGCAATGTGAATCTAGTTTTACCCCGGCCTGGATTGGGGAGCCAGCTAAACTACCTAAACGATTTTAAAATATGAGTCCGATCTTTTGTAGAGTGGTAGGGACGTTATTTAAGAAAAGCTTTTGAGAATGGGGCCGACATCTAGAGCGGATCCTAATTGGCCCCTTTGACTTATGTTGGGTTTTTTATGTCTAAATAAATTCAATTAAATATTAGACTCGATTTTAATTTGTTACTAATGCGATGTATGCTAATTGACTCGATTGAATGCAAAATCAGTATGTAGTAGTTTAAAAACTTTTGGCTTAGAAAATATTTTTTTTTCTAGAGATTGCATAACTTCCCCTTGACAGATCGGCACCCTCATAGGCCAGGTGGTCTTCTAGAACCCGCAGGCGGGGAGATGCCTAACAAGGTAGAGAAGGTTCAAAATGAATGCATGAAAAACCCTCGGCGAGTCCGAGCTTACTTCTTAGAACCGTTTAGAGTTTCTATCTTATCCTAAAATTTTTATTTAATTGAAGTAAAAGAATTTTTGACAAACCCCTAAGAGCCTAAATCGAATTCCAGGTCAAACCAAATACGACATGCAGATAAAAAGACTAGAAAAGCAGGAGTTCTAATGCGCAATCAATTAAAATAAATCAATCAAATTAAATATATCAAATTGAATATCCATAGGCAAGTGCCCTTATTATTACATCACAGAATATTTGCAGAAAATTAGAGTGGCCAGGCACCACTGACTACAACCCAAATTTCTAATCCTAAATTAAATGAGTTTGAGATTTGGGATTCTTCCCGTTGTCCATTTCTTCGTCTTCTCACGAACATCTTGATTCGTCAGTTCCGGATATCCAAATGGAAAGAAACTCCCCCTTGAACGGGGTGTTATCTTTCCTCTTTGGATATTTGAAAGGGATCTTAATTTAACTTTCAAATGGAAGAAGACTCTTCCCTTTAGGGATGTCTTTACCTCTTTGGAATTCAAATTGGATAAAATATCCCAAATTCAAGTCATTTCAAATAATTACAACCTTAATTGAATTAAATTTACATTGAATGAAATAAGAAAATCTAGACTCGATCCTACAAGGTTATCCTAATAATCAGCAGTTATATATGTTCTCAAGCAGTTATAATATTTGATCTCAAGCAATTAATATATTTGAAATTTAAATGCTCAACAGATTGCAGTAAATAAACAAACAATCAATCAATTCTAAGCTAGCAAATAACATACAGTGAAAGCTCGAAAACCCAGCACACAGCGAAAAAGTAAACACTGCCGGCCTAGCCTAAAACTAGAGTTGGTTGTTCTAATAAACCATCTACAGTGTGTGAGGTAGGTCGTGTGGTTTTAATATGTCCTAAGTTGGATCATTAGATTGAAGTTGCTTAAGGTTCGATTGGTTGAAAGACTTAAGGGATTTAAATTTGAGTTTAAGTATTAATGGCTTGAAGTTAATTTTATAATTTATTCTTAATTATTTGTTGAATACCACCATTGTTTCACACCGAGGCCGTGAATTTTATTTCACCTTCCTTGGTGCTAAGTTAATAGCCTCGTAGGCTTGGGTTACCCAGTGGTACCTGGTATAATTAAGTGATTTAATTCGATTAAAGTTTGAAAATTAATGAATTTTAATTAAGTTTGGTTGATTACTGATTTTAAGGTTAATTAAACATTTCTGGAGTTTTAAAGTGATTTTGAGTTTTTAAGAATTTTTAGAATATTTTAATCATTTAATTAAAGGGTCAAAAATTGACTTTTATTAAAATAATAGACTTTAATACGAT